GGTGGTGAAGTGTAGCAAAAAGAAAAGCCCAAACAACAACATATATCTTTACTCCTGTCCTACTTCACCACACGGTTTGTCCTCGCTGTGCGTGTGTGTGTGAGGTTTTCAAAGTTTAGCCTTAAAGTTGTTTGTGAGTCCCGATTCAGGCCTGTAATTACCCCTGCGCATCTTGAAGAAACATATTTGTAGTCGGAAGGGTGTTAAGGCTCCTCTGGCCCAGCTGTCTACACCATGAAAAGGAATGTCCCACTTGCGCCCTGTGCTCCACCAAACCACCAGAAGCAATTCTGAAAATGCAATTAACACCGTTTTGTGTTTACTGTGGAGCGGTAGTTTTTCCAGGCCCCTTCGCAAAAGCGCAGTGTCAGCCAATCGGGGACTTGTGGGAGCCAAACAATTGGAAAAAAAATTCGGACTCCTCAGGGACAATGGAAGCACTTCATGCTGGCCCACTTTTCTGGCGGTGGAACAACTGCCGGAAATTTTCGGGCCCTGATCTCAAAGAAAGAGCGAAGGCTGCTGGGTGCTCTCTATAAGACAAACGGAGGAGCTCAGGGTTTTATTCGCTCTGTTTTAGACGGGATCGTAAATAAAGGCGAGGAGTGAGAAAGCATAAACAAGAAGTGGGCAGCCTGCTGGTCGATTGGCTTGTAGCTCTTGTCGTATGTCAGTACGGAGTACAACGTGGGTGCTTAGTTGAGCTGTAGAGAGGTTACAGACTAGCCGGAGGCGTCCGCCGACAACCGGAGCCGTTAGTGGAATTGAGGAGCAGCTGATCTGTGAGCCTCTGCGTCGTCATGGGCGCCGGCTCAGGTGTCAAACGCCTTATTGTTGTCAGCTCCAAGCCTGCCTGTCACAGAGCAAACTGGTAAATAATGGAGAAGGAACACGTGGAAGTTTCTGGTTTCTAATCAAAAATCCCGTTTACTTTACCGCGTGCCCCGAGGCGAAAAACAGAGGGAGGTACATCTGACCATAAATCCCCAGTGTCTTTCCTCCTCTACTCTATCTCACACTCTTTGTCACTCTCTCTATTTCGTTTTTTTTTGTTGTTGTTGTTGTTCTTGGCTACGCCACCTCATTAGCAGCAACCTTGACCTATCCCGGGCTGAGCGTTGGGCTGCCACTGTGATCACAGCCCACTTAAAAAATAAAGCAAAGCAACAAAAAAAACAAAAAAAACAGTAATGGTTAAATAATTTAACAAAAATTGGATTTTGCTGCCGCAAACTTCGCTTCCACACTTTCGCTAGAAATGAGATGACATTATGTGATGCTAATCAAGGAAATGGTTAGCGAGAATGATGAATAACCGATTCCAAAGGACTTGCTTTGTTCTACCACAAACAAACACAGAAAGAAAAGCGGGTTATGAGCGAAGCCCTGTGGAGTTCTGGGATGTATTTCACGTCATAGCATTGTTTTTCTCGGCCGTGTCTTTGACTTTCTGCTTAATTTTTGTGTTTGAGGCTAAGACGCAGCCTCCGACAAGAGGGTGATGTTATAAATGCCAGGGTCAAAGGTTAGAGTTGTATAATTCATCATCCCCATCTTCCGTGATTACACCAACGCGGGAACATTGCACAAGATAAATAGTCTTGAGCCTTATCTTTCTCCTCCCTCAGTTTTTCTCCCTTCTCTTTATCATGCCGTTTTTTTTTCTTCCCTTGGTTCTTTCCCTCGCACAGCCATCACTCTGGACGCCCTTTCTCCTCACTTTACCTCACCTTTTTTTTTTTTTAATCTTTGTATTTATCTCCTCGCTGGGATCTTTTCTCCCACTCGTCTGCTGCTCCATCCCAGATATTTTCTCTCATCTTCATCTCCCCCATTTTCCGCATTCGCTCACTCTCCCCTCGGTCTTTGTCTCTTTCATCTTTCTCCATCTGCCTCACACCCTGCCCATCTCTCTCCACATTTCATCATTTCACATGTAGGCTCTGTTGAACTTGCAGCGGAAAATTAGTTTTTGTTTGCGCCCGCAAGGGCCGACGGGACATCCTGTGTACGACAATTGTTGCGTAAGTAACTGAAACAAAGTGACAAAGCTGGCCTCAGATGGATCCTGGGGGCACGAAGCCTGACTCAGGACTGAGGGATGGAAGGAGACAGAGATGGAAAACAAAGGAGACAGTGCTTGATTTAACCAGGGCAGATATGACCCAGGCATCTTGAGAATCGGAGCTAATGGCGAGGAAGGCACATATCTGATGTCCTACTCTTATGGGGAATTTATAATCCCCTGAAAAGCTCAATTGTGTTTATCTCAAGATAGACAATTACTGCGTTTTTCCCATGGAAAAATACAATCTTTTTAATGATAAAAGGACCTGCGACTTTTTGCTTTTGCAGTTTAAAGAAAATTAGCCCTTAGCTGTTAGCTAACCGTTGCTGGCTAGCAGATAGTACTATTTTCTTACGGAAAATCCCAGTTAACACTCACAAAAGGTTTCACTTAAGTGCCAAAAAATGTAAATAAAGCTTAAAGAAAGCAAATCAACTAGTTAGGTAATTGAATGGCAACTGTACAAAAGGAAAAATCCACCCACGTTTCAAATTGGGGGTGGTACTGGGGTCATTCCTTTCAATTATTCCATGCGGCTAGCACCACTAGCTAACACCTGCAAACCACTTCCAAAAATCCCTCATACAAACCTAATTTCAGCAGAGGAGGACTGTAAATGGCAAAAAGAGCTCTTAATTTGCTACTAGATCTGGAGTTATATCACAGAATTGGTCTGTAGTTTATATTCAAAAGCTGTAATTGACATTTGTTCACACTAATAACAGATTATGTATTTTGTATCCTTGATGAAATTAGGTGCGCAACAAAGCAGCTTGTATCAGCTAAAAGATTGAGCTGTTTTTTTTTTTTTTTAAAGATAACTGTCACAGAAAAGAACTGTCAGGTTTTTAAAAAGCACTTAATAGATTGCTTGGTGAAAAACACTTGTTCTGTTTTGTTCTTTTTTTGCTGCCATGGAACAATAGTGATGTGAATGTCAGCAGAGCTGATACGGAACAGTTAGTGTTGATGAGCCACCAGCAGCAACGCTTTTTTTCCGTGTGAAGTTTGATATGATAATGAGGTCAAAAATAATTTTTGGACCTTCCGAATGTAATCACAGAGATGGTGTGTCTAGTCATTTGGAAGAAAAACTGTGGCGTCTTACCATCCTTTCATTCTTAACAGACTTTGGAACAGAAACATTAACATTTTACGGCCGTAATCCAGAAATTCAGACCATCGGATAATAGACTGCACATTTATTCGCAGGTCTTATTTCACACCTCAAAGACTTCCTTAAATGAAACTAAGCAATTTTACTTTTGAAGAGCCATGGGTTCTGTCATTGGCTCTGCAGTACTTAGAGGTTAATAGATAATTTTTTGGTTTTACTTTACTTTTATTTTTTTAGACCTGTAACGTACTACGTTTGATATTATCGAAAGAGCCCAATCCCCTTCTCTGAAGTCACTGAACAAAAACCACCCTTTGGAAGTCGTTTTTAAATGACTGCCGTCTGTCACACCGTCAAACAGATGTTTAAGACGGAGCCCGGTACTTTTACTCCTCTCCTATCACAACGGCCGGAGGAGAGGTCTTTGGCTCCGGAGCAGGCTGACCCCATTTCTCCCACAAGCCATTCCTAAATCACTGAGCCGTAACTCTCTCCTTTTTATCTCCTCTCTCCTCGCTGCCTCTCTTTATTTGATATAAACCACATCTCCAGACACTTGTTCAATATAACAAGCTTGCATAAATTTATATTTTTATTGGACGGCTGCGGCTTGGAACTTGGAATGAGAGGCTCTATTTTTTTTCTCTCCTTTTTTTTCAGTGAAAGCTTCTGCCGTGGACCACTTTCCATCAGGCCCGTAAAGAGTCCCTGACGTTTTTATCCAGTCAAACACGGTTCACAACGTCCCAATTAAACCCGGTCTGCGCGGCAGCCGGCTCGGTAAATCCTCGAGCGTCACCCAGCACCTGTAGGAAGCCGTCTGAGTCGCAGTCTCTGTGTGCTGATGCCTTATTCATGTGACAGATTTGCAGCAGATAAGCGCCTTACTTTAGTAGTAATTCCAATGAATAAGCGATGCTCTTTCCCATTCCTGGCGAAGGTGATAAGAAGAAGAGAGGAGGGTAAAAAAGACCAGCCGCCGGTCAACCTTGAAGGCAGGTCTGAATTTGCCAGTATTATATGTCAATAAGAAACAAATAAAAACCGTTTTGGATGGGAAGGGAAAAGTGGGCCCTCTTTGGAAGCCGCACTAAGATACTGAAGCCTCATGGGAATCGGGCTGATAGCTTCCCGCAGACGCACAGGGAGGCTCTTATGAATAATAGAAGACGTAGCAGTCTAACCCCTAATTGTATGATGATGAGGCTTTTTATGGGTGAGATCCAGCTTCTTGGCAAAGCATCAGAGGACAAAGTAGGGCAGGATGGGGGTTTTGTTCTTTTTTCTTTTTTTGTTGTTGTTCTTATTCTTTTTTACCCGTGACGTAAGTCGAGCAGTTTGAATTGGACACAGGTGGCTTTGATTTCCAGATATCTCTCCCCTTCTACTGCCGGGGGTTCTGGCTTTGCTTTGGGCCACCGAGGGTTTTTCTGTCAAAAGGTCAGCTCAGTATATTCATCAGCTTACCGAGCCAGAGACGGAGATCTACGTTTAGGGCTGTAGGTGATAAAGCCCTGTGCGCCGTAATCTGCTCATTAGCGCGTCGAAATGTTTACCTGCACGTCTAACTATGACATACGGTAACGTGAACCCCTTCCTCTGAAGGCCGCTGTTTTTTTTTTTTTTTTTTCTTTTCTTTTCTTTTTATGTATTTTTGAAGAACTATTCCCGCACCGAAGCACAGAAAAGGCGCAACCTGCCAAGCTGCTCAGTGGCGGATAATAACCCACAGCTGGCCAAGATCTGTATTCATCTCTGTCTGTGAGGGACATAAGATGCTGTTGGGGGAAAGAGAAAAGACGAGAGAGAAGTTGACTGCCGGCAGCGCTGACAGACTGCTCTCTGTTTCTGCTCACTCCCTCCTCTCCTCTCCTCTCGTTTCCAGGTAACGACTTGTTCCTGGTCGCCGTCCACGAGCTCGGACACGCACTCGGCCTGGAGCACTCCAACGATCCCACAGCCATCATGGCTCCTTTTTACCAGTACATGGACACGGACAACTTCAAGCTGCCCATGGACGACCTGCTGGGCATCCAGAAGATTTACGGTAAGGCCTCATTGACATTCACCGGCTAGCTCTCAGCCCCGAAGAACCTGCCAAGCGCCTGCCCATCAGGCAGTGAAATTTATCAGCCTGTTATTGTGAATTATGTGGGCGCAGAAGCTGGAAGACGCAGAGACACGCGGGATTAGTTGGAGAGCTCCAGTTGATATTTTAGACAGCCAATAACAGCAGCACTTCTGTCTCATAACTGTCCTCGGGCCGTTTGTTGGCTGGAAGCGGAGCTCAAAAGGAGCTAATCAGCTGTTTTTTCTTCTTGTTTGTTGAACAGGAGAATGAGACTCTTAATTTCTCCTCAGTCAGCTTCTGCCAGGTTTTCATAAAGAGATGTAAATCAGGAAAAAAGTTCACGAAAGTAGTACAAAACAAGTCTTTCATGCTCACTTTTCAAAGACTTGGTGGGTGTGACAACTTGGTTTCTGGTAAGCGTTTTTACTCTTTTCAAAGTGTATCCAGTGATTGCTGCAATTGAATGGGAAATGGGTATATATCAGAGGGAAAATGAGAGTCGGTGTTCTGAAGTCACTTGCTGACAGGAATCTGTTTTACCTGTAGCCTAGTGGCTCTGCAATTTAGATTTTCTGTCATCTCTTTCTGAAGTCTTCAGTGGTTTCTTTTGAGGGGGGGGGGCTGTGTCTGACAAATCACTGACTGGTGCTGCAGCATTCATCTCAGTCCTGATCTGTGAAGCTCCTCCGCATCCCGCTGTCATCATAGCCATTTTTAAACCCACCGCAGTCCCCTTTATTCACTCAGCTATGTCCTGTGGGTGGCTTTTTTCTTCTTTTCTTCTTTTTTTATATTTTTTTTGGTCTGTTTCGAAATCCTCAGTGCATCATCAACAAGTCAGGCTTTACTGTTAGGCGCTCAAAGGTTGTGTGTTTAAAGTCAGCCTTCACGAAGACGCTTCTCACAGGTGTCACGATAAGTGACATGTTTACTAATCCAGTTTTAGCAGAACATTTCTTTAATTTTCAGATCAAGAGTCGAGATAAGCGTGCAGCACGCGCAATCCTCCAAAAGATAATAGAGCTCGGGGGCGTTCAGTTCAATTGTCACGGTGAACGATTTATATAAACACCACAACACTTCCTAGTTTTATTTCAGTCTCGGAGACAAATGCGGAGATCACAGTGGAAAAAATGGTTGACCTAGATAAGTGTGTAGAGGAGGGTTTCTGACTAATAGAATGTTAACGTTTTTGTTTTGTTTTGTTTTTCTCACTCTCAGTTTGACATCTCAAGCAGGGAAATCAACTTAGTGGTAAGTGAGCGTATTGTCAGTTACATCTGTCAGCGTTGTAAAGCACTCCCACTCGACCGAGAGGACGCCCTCGTGTCAATGGCTGCGTGCACACACACGCACGCCAACACACACGCAGAAGGACCTGCCATCTGCCTACATGGTCAGGGCACGTCCCTTAGGGAGTGACAAACCCGGGCAGGCGATCAAATCTCTCTTCATCCCTATCATGTTCTATTCGTCCCCTACTCTGTCGTACCAAGAGTTGAAGGATGGGACAAGAGATGGCAGCTACCCTCTCAGCCTCATTTCTTCCCCGCGGCGCCTGGCCTCCTTTTTCATTCTCATGGCAACAATGATGCAGGGGCAAGGTGAGAGGCGTGCAGATGGAAGGCAAGATGGTGGACTTGGAAAGGAAAGAGTTGTTGGATTTCTGACGATCATTCGTTGTTAGATGGAGCCCGGAAAAAGGCGCAGAGCGCAGAGGGGAAAGAAATTTTGAGGAGTTCTGGATGAGCTCGATGTTGACATAATTCTCCGTCCCAGATTTTGCATTTGCCTCCATTTGCAACCTTTTGAGTTTGAGGTCAGCAGCATAAACATCTAGGAGCTGGGATGCAGAGAATAAGGCATCTTTATATAATAGAACTCTAAGCCAAATTTGGGAATGGCCATTGCCAGCCACTGGTTTCTGCTGGTCATCCTGAACCCATGCAATAATCTACAGGACAAAATCAGTGTTATTTTTCATGCAAAACTGCTTGTAGGCCCATCGTTTTGTTTTTGAGGGACTCTGCCTCTCTAAGATGCTATTTTTACATCAAGTCATGCTACAAACCTGTAGCACCACCCTCCCCAGTCTTATCTCCCCCCTACAAAATTTTGAATAAGCTAAAAAAAAGTTTCCTGATCTGCTAAAATGTCTCACTTATGACACGGCGTGTTTTCTATGTTCTGCTGGATTATTCAGGCATGTTTTATTCCCATTTTACAACTCACAATCTTTTTGGAATGGGGCACGTAGCTTTACAATGAAACGAGAGGTCTGAGAGCCCGGGTTCAATAAATGCAGATTACAGGCAAACATTCAACAGCTGAAGTGCTTTCTTATCGCCTGCATCCTTTCAATTCCTCACGGACAAATCCCATTTATTTTCTCCACGAGCTTTGAACATAATGACTTCCTGCCCTTTTGAAGAGAATTGCCCATTCCTGTTTACACAAGCTGCACATTTCAGTTAACACTCACATTGAAGGCTGCACATCACGACGAGGATGATGACAACAAAGATGATGAAGTCGCCAACTGGATAGGAAAGTGAAAGCAAGGAAGTTATTTTTTGTTATCACGGACCACTTGCTGACATAAAAAATAGAATACTGACCAATTTAATGAGAACAACTTGGATTGTTGCTACTGATGACAGACAAGTTACGATAAGAAGCTTATTTCAAGTAGTACTGCTCACTGTAGCCTTATCAGAAGTCTTATCAGCGGAAGGGTGGCTATCTAAAAGCCTGAGGTGTTCCAAACAGCAAGAAGAAAAATTCAAATCAATGAGGAATCCTTAATTGTGCAGCAAAACTAATCCTTAAGACTACATCAAGAAATTACCATAAAGCTTCTCTAAGTAGGTTCAGACTGGAGAGGAAAAAGGAATCATATACCACGGTACCACGCTACAACAAATCCACATTATCCTACTGCCGTTAAATGCTTTCTGATACTCAACGTCTGCCCTTTAAAAACCCATGGGAACTGGTTATCCCGTGTCTCTTACTATATTCTTACACATTCATTCATGCCCTTACGGATCCTCTTAGCTACACGACTCAGCCATATATGAACATGATTTCAGTGTTGGACAGGTAGTTTCAACCCCAAGGGCCTCTTTGTCCAGCTTTGTTCTTATTTTAGATGGCTGATTTCCATCTACGTTCCATTAACGTTCATGACTCGGCAGATTCCCCGTGCAGTCAGTCACCGCACTGGCTCAGCTCACTGATTAGATTGCCGTTCTTTAGTTTCGAGTGTTCTTATCTGTGAAATGAGCTGATTGGCCTTAACAATCACTGCAGCTCCGGGCCCTGTGTGGAACCAACTGAAGAGTCATAGCTCTCTGGGAGATGGAATGGGTGGTCAGATGCTAAAATTAGTCGGATTGGAATCTGCCAAATGCCACGCAGAAATGTGGGTTTACGTAACTGCCGAGTACTTTAGCTCCACTAATTTGAGGATGTATTTTGGAGGGGATTTAAGTCTAAATGCTGAGATTGGCTGGTTTGTTCAGCAGATTAGCGTTTTCCCTTTTCTTTGTTTAATTGCTTTCTGTAGATCGACCCATTCGGTGCTTGCAGCCCCTGATTGATCAGTTATTTAGCTATCATGAAGGCTTTTTAGCTTTCGGGCTTTCTAAAAAGGCAGCATCTTTCATACCGTGATCCTGTATCTCTTGACCTCAATCAACACATGGCAGCTCACATCCTCACAGTGACAGATTGTGTCACTGACACGCCGTCATTTGCTCAATTATTCATACACACAACCCACTTGTTTGCGCTGCGTCAGCCTCTCTCGTCTCATTTTTTTTCTCCCTCTCAACGCGTCATGCTCGTTCTCATGTAGCTCTTACATTTATAATAAGAACCAGTCATGCTAAGGGCTCCATCGGAAAGAGTTATCTCTGTGCGCCCAGTATAAGCATCTTTGAAGTTGAATTGGAAATCGCTTACTAATTCGCCATTTAGCTTTTTTCTTTCTTTTTTTTTCAAAATCATCTTACAGGTGGGAAGTAATCTAGCATCAGCACAGCGGAGCTGGGAGACATTGGAAATCTGGTCATAAGTGTTGAGATCCAGGTGTCCTGCATACTTTGTTGGATAAATATTTGCCGATATCCTGGCAGAGGGAATGGTTTTCTGGGGTGGCTGATAGCTCAGCCTTAGAGATGTTGGGGGACAATCTGCCGGCAGTGATAGCTACTGTTGACTTTCACCCACATAGCAAGGATACGCGGAGCTGGGTGAAATAATGATGAGCGTGGGGAGGTGGATTTATTTTTTCCTGAAGAGTCGTGGTCCCAGCACTGAGCCTTGGCGCAGTGTTAAGGATACAGCAGGATGAGGTTGAAGGTGTTTTTGATGGAATCATGATGGAGGTTTTATACAAACCAGGATTTCTACGCCTCCCAGAGGTGACCGGCAGTGGGACGCTTTGGCTTTCTGTGTCAGGGACTGCAGGGGGGTCCAGCAAGGTGAAAGCCAAGGACTTGTGCTGCCTTTAAGTGACCATTTTTGTGTGTTGTTTTTTTTTTTTTGACCTGCTGTTTTGGCAAGTTTTACGTCTTTAAAAGAAACCTTGAAGACATAAAGAGTTTTTCGGTTTTCTGCTATGTTCTTTCTTTTCTATACCCAACCATCATCCCTTCAGGGTCGCATGTTTCTATTCTGGCTGTATACATGCTCTCTGCATGGGCAGAAATGAGAGAAAAGTCACTGAAATTTGCTGTTTTAAATGCTTAAAATGTGATGATTTGAGTTGTTGGCTTTGGCCCAAATATGGCACTTTGATCTATTTGCAGGTTTCTTAATCCTCAGATGAATTTAGCCACATTTTCCAAAAATGTTGTCAAATTGTTATTGTGTATTTATTTAACCTCTTCCCCCACAGAGTTTGTTTCATTAAAAAAAAGACTGTTGTCTATCTATCTTTCTCTGACCTCCTCCAGGACCACCTGATAAGATCCCCCAGCCTACCAAGCCTTTGCCCACGGCGTACCCTCCTCGCTCTCATCCCCCCTCGGACCCCCGTAAACCCGACAGGCAGACACGACCCCCGAGGCTCCCCCCGGGAGACAGACCATCCCACCCCAACGCCAAACCAAACATCTGCGACGGCGGCTTCAACACGGTGGCCATTCTGAGGAGAGAGATGTTCGTCTTCAAGGTAACACAACAAACCCATCTCCGCTTGACATTTCTTCTGAAGGCGTTTGACTCATTGGCTGGCAAATGCCACAAAAGAGCAGCTCAGCCCTTCGTTCAGAACCGTTTGAATACCTGTAGGTGATAGCCGGTGGAGCTCTGGGAGGATTATCCAAAAATACAGAGAGGGGAAGCTATTTTGCTAATCTGCTTCATGTTTGTCGTGTTTCATGGCATGCATAATGTGAAGGGAACTCACTTAGATGTGGCAGAAAAGTACTTTGCTAGAACGTTTGACTGTGTTGGTTAGAGCTGATTGAGCCGTGGGGAAACACACAGTTGGATAAAGTGAAAGTCTTACCATAACAGAACAGAGCGAGGCACCCTGCTTCCTCATTAGCTCTGGTTGTGTAGGACGAATAAGTCCACCTTTTTTTTTTTCCTTTTCTTTTTTTCCTGTCCTTGGTGGAAGCTCGTGAGCACAGTGCCTTGGCAGCATGCAGTGAGAGACCTGGGGCCGGCACAAAGCCGATCTGTGTTCTCCACAGAAGGAAGAATTAGGGCCTCTGCTTTATGCGAGAGAGACTGCATTTTACCGGGGATATAAATAGATAGCATTCACCGGTTGAATAAGAAGCTTGTGGAACCAGGGGGAAAAACCCTTTTCTGTTCCCTCCTCCCCCCCCCCCCCCCCCAAACACACTAGAGTTTTCTTCTAACCCCCCGAAAAAACAAATCCTGCTCATAGCTGGAGCTGCTACCTGTGGAGGTTTTTAACCAAAATTAGACTCAAGGCTCACTTTGTTCTCTTTTTTTTCCCTCTTCTTGTGGTTTTAGGAAGCTGTATCTGTTAGTTACTATCGAGTAGGTGTCTCTCACATGATGTGTGCAGCAGCTCCTGCTGCCCCTCATTACTCTCAGGGCAGCAGCAGATGTTTGGACATCTCGTGACCCTCATCACTCCCATCAGAGTGGAGGAGAATAAAAGAGATGTTCAGCTGTCAGGCTTTTTTTTTTTCTAACCTTGAGGAAGTGCAAAAAAACAAAGACATTTCACTTTCCTGACTGTGATCAGCGCATCAAATGAAATTGGAATGGATCGCTGTAGGAATCGTCTTGAAACTCCTTTTTTTCGCCCAGTTTTCTTCTCTTTTGTCAGAGTGAACCTCACCACTGCGCTGGGTATTTGTTTTCGTTGTTTATCTTCTTAAACATTGCAGACTTCTGTGAATGAATTACAACAATTTATTAAGCTAAAGCACTTTAACAACCCCTTTCTTTGAAAGGGTAGGAAAAAATCTGGCGGACCTCAGTTTTTTATCACGAAATTCTGGGTTTGATAGCTGTATAAAACACTCAAGTGAGGTCAAAGGTTTGGAATATTCTCCAGTGGAGACCTGTGCTGACCTGTCAGTTGATGACATCAAAGCGTTGTTTTTAACATAATATAAAGGCATATGAGAGCATGGAAAGGACACAAACCTGACCATATGCGGATGGATTTTTTTAGTCCCATCATGCTGTGTGTAACAAAGCAGCCTCGTGGTTTACTGTGCTGGCTAAAATAAGAGTGACACCAGAGGCAAAGTGTTCAATTAGAAATGAGATTACATAGCACACAGTTTCCATCCCTGCCTGTTGGCATCACAGCGCGGTGTCATGCACCAGCGTCCACACAGAGTGTGAAATGTATCATCGGTTTGACTCGGATCTGCTAGGCCGAGGCGTCTTTTGAACTTTTTAAACATTGAGATCAACCATACAGCAGCTTTGTTCCTACAGGGGGATTTCTTCTTTGCTCAATGGCTCCGTCTGCACAACTCACCGTTTCCTCTTGATTATTTTCGGAAGACTGGATGTCGGTCGATGCTAAGTCATTATAGAAGACATCTCGGCACTCTGCCCCCACAGGTGTTACAGCTGCGTAAAAGAGCGAGCTATAAAGGGGTGGAAAAAATGTCATTTATGGAGTGGAGAAGTCTTAGCGGCCTTGTTTTTTCTTCTTCCTCTATGACTGCACATGTGGCTCACACTAAGGCTTTGCTCTATTCAGCAAGATTTGTGCGCCACTCTGACAAATGGAATCATTTCAGTGGACATTCTTGGTCCTGAAAAGGCAAAAGGAAGTGAGGAGAAGAGTGTTGTGGTCAATTACCCTTATGTTTGCAGAGGAGGCTCCATTCATGGCCCAATTCTGATGATTACCTCTGCTGAAACTGTGGATATTATTCCCTCTTGATTGTTTTCTGCCTTTCAAAGTGCACTGGAGGCTGTTGCCATCTCACCCATTTACATGCAAATGGAGCATTTCTTCCGATTGCACCAAGATATTTGCATCATATACGGTGGGATCCCACTCAGCAACCTCTTCTCCTGTGCTACCATTTCAGAGCATTTTGAGTTAGAAACATCAGCGCTTTGCCCTGAAATAGCCCCGATAACTTCATGCTTTTGGCAGGAGAAAAAGGGTAAAACCAGAGATTGTGACGTTCTCCAGCAGAGACAAAGGTTTTAGTTTTCCAGAAATACAAAACTGTTCCACTTGCAGCTGTTTGCAAAAAATGAAGGTGATTTTTTTTTTCTTTTACTGACAAGAAGGACTTAGTAGTTTATACAAGCAAGACATAATGTGTCAAATTCCAGTTCAAGGATGGCACTTTTGGAAAGTTTTAGAGTGGCCGAAGCTGCTCCCTTCCAGCAGTGGCTGATTTTAAGAGACGGTGTACTCGTCAAAGGTGAGTCATGCTTGTTGGGTTTGGTTGTTTTATGGTGGGCCATTCTTCTTACCGGCCAGGCGACAAAGGGTCAGCAAAAGTTCATAGAGGCGGGCATTCAGTGTCACCAGTAAAGGTCCCAAAACTGCAAATTGACCAGTTATGTGGAACGGGTTTAACTTTCCATGAGCTCGGTAATCATTTGGCACCCCAGTGTACTTGGAGGCAAAGAAGCATTCATCTACATGCATGTATTCATAGGAGAGTAGGGATTTTCTTGGGCAGTAATTGCAGGCTGCTTTCAGTCCAGCTGTAGCACAGATGTGACGGTAACAACAAGCAGACAGAAAGTTTCCAGGAGCCCATTGATCCATAGGATGCATGGTGGAGCCTCAGACATCATTACTGAAGTTTGGATTTGGGTTTATGGCTCACTGTTATCTTGTCAGTTCACAGAGCCAGAAAATCCACACAGGGATTTGGGGATTTGGGGTCAAACGTTCCCATAACATACGTACGGCTCCTGAAGTTTTAATATTTTCATAATGGAACGAAAATCCAAAGCTGTGGGACATGCACCACCAGAGGTGGAATTTGACTCAGTTTTTAGATTTAGACATTTTTTATTCTGCCTTTGAGCATTATTACTATCGATAATGGAAATGAAAGGCTTTACAAAGCGTATATAAATGTAACGATTGGAATGTTTGAGTTCGGTGTAACTCATTTTTAGTTTGCAGTTGTAAACTAGTGCAAAGATTCACACAGGTTTAATGAGTATTTTAAAAAAGCTCTCAGGTTTCAATTATGGGGAATAAATAAGATGTCATCTGGTGTCAAAATAATCTGGAGCGCATTTTTAGATGAAAAGAAATAAGTATATAAGTACCTTTATCTCTTTGATTCTTTACATCACTGTATTTGTTTTGCATTTTGTAATCATCAGACAGACAACTCTTAGATTCTGTCATTTTCAATAGTTAACCCAATACTGTTCCTCCTCATTATTACACATGTATAACAGACGTAGATCAGCCCCTCATCAACTCAGTCACATCACTTTAAGCTTGAAAAGATTCATGTGAAAACGTTAACGTCTGCAAAAAGTCGCAAAGCCCGTCTTCTAATTTCACTTTCATGAACTATTGCATTCAGAAATCAAGGCATTTAAGAAATGAAAGTGGTGTTTATCTCAAATAGAAATCAAACCGTTCAAAAGTAAATGACTGCCAATGTCCATATGATTAATAAGCTAATGTGCTTATAATTAGAACATCATCAGGGTATAATTTGAGAATCTACAACTTTTCATCCTCTCACTGAGTGACCAATGTGGAGCAGGGATTTAGGGAGGACAGAGGGTCCCTTGCTTCTTCGGATTTCTGATGTTTGGAGCCATGCTTCCAGCCCCACATCCATTAATGGGAGCAAAGTGGCCACGGGAGCTTAAGCTGTCCACTCTTTCTAACCTGGTGCTGCAGTGACAGAGGTGGAGAGTCCAGAAATAGCAGGAGGTCCTGGTGGATTTCGTAATGCTGTTTATTGCGCTTTTTTAAGACTTAGGGTATTTAAATAGCTTTAAGAAAAAAAAATGAAGTAAAAGTAAATGACTTTCGCAGCATCAAGCCTATCAAATCAGAAGTAAGTTATATAACTGCTCTCATTACTGAGGGATAATCATTGGGGAGGCATATTATACTTATGTTTTACACAAACTGACCGTGGTTATAATGATACAGGCCGGTCTTTTCAAGGGAGAGAGGTGACCCCCTCAAACCAGCCCTCTTTTGAGTTCTTGGGACGTTATTACTGCAGCGTGAAATTGCGTACAGCAACTGGCCCAAACATCGATCTGAAAATACTGAAAGACGTCTCCCCTCATCTGCGGTCGAACCCAGGGAAGCCGTTAGGCTAAGGATCCCTCTTTTAGGCTCAATACCTACAAAAGTTGTGCGTTTACCAGCCCAAATTATAAAACTGAGCACATACCAGCTGATTGAGATGTTTTCAAAATCTTTTAGAACTCATGTCGTGCTTCGTCCGTCATATATGGGCTCCTTTTTCCTTATTCCTGTGTTTTAGGTTAAACATTTCCGTCATCTTTGTTTTGTCGTTTTAGGAAAAAGATGGTAGATTGGTGTTGAAACACATATTTCTTATAAGATTACTGCACAATTACAGATGATATTTGATGTTTAAAAACAGGGAAGTGTATAGATTATTTATTCAATGTCATTACAAGCTGGAATCGGAATCATGATTGTATTCCCACTCCATGCTTTCCAGTTTTTATTCCATGCAAAGCTAACCTAACCTAAGCTTACAGTTTGTTGCTTGTGGCTCACAGAGGCAGCTAGGGGGTCAGCCCCATTTCCCATGATGTCACCCATCTTCTGTAAATATAAACACTTGAAGTTTTAATAAACACTTGGAATTACTGCTTCCCACACTCATTTGACCCACATTTTGGGAAAAAAAACTTTCTCGCTCGGCATTACTTTTGTTTTAATGGATGCAGTTGCACCTTACTGGTCAGAATGAATGCCATACAGTGGTTTTCTGTCGCTGCTGACCTGTTTGAACAGCCATCTTCTTCGCTTTTATAGCAGAAAAGTCAAATGTCTGATCGAGGTGACCGCAGACGCCCATCGGATCCAAAAAAGTTGGCATGAGGATGAACCACAAAGCCGTTATCATTCTTCTTCTTGTACGTTTTCTTTAAAAGTCATTGCATTTGAGGCCATTTTGCATCACTTAGCGATCACATTTTTACAGTTTCACATTCACACGGTGTGGGTTTGTTTTCCCATCATCCGTTTTCTGTGTCACTGGCTGCTCTCTTTATTTGTCATTTCATTGATTTTATATGAGCAAAGGTCAGCAACCATAATAACAGTGCCACCGACATTATATCTCCAAAATTATTATTGACTTGTTTGTGTCCATTTTCTTTTCTTTTTTTTTTTACTTTTAATGCGTGTTCTGCATCTGCGGTGCATCATGTGGTGTAAGTTTCTGTTTGTTTTTTGTTTGTTTTTTTTGGGGGGGGGGGTTCAGATTTGTTGTCTTTTTTTTGGTCCATCTATGTCCTAGTGATCTCTTTTATCTAGTAATTTGTGTCTTTTTGTGGTCAATAACTTGCTGGCAGCTCTGTATGTTGTCTCATTTTGTCATTTAATTGAGCGTTGAACCAAAGATTATTCGCCATGGCCCCATTGCCTTTGTGTTATACGCATCCGTAATGCTGATGTGTTTGGTCTCTGGCTCCAGAATACCAATGAAGCAGCGCGCTCTTTCTGCAGCATGTATAAATATCATTTGATTAAAGTACTAATGAAATGCAAAGCTGTGAAGTTAAAAGTTTGTATGTTTGTTTAGTCAAGTCAGCAGGTCAGCGCAGAGCGCCGTATCGACTCGGGGTCCACTGGCCAAGCAGTTTGTGCAGTTTTTGTTCCTCGTCGCTGATCATCATTATCAGGAGGAGCAGTTGGTTTATGCCACAGAGCTCTTAAGAACTCATATTCCTCCGGAGAACAGGTGTTGATAGGGCCTAAGCGCTCTGAAACCACGCGCCCAGTGAGAGGACGTCCCTATAATAGTTGAGCGGGCCTGCTGACATTTGCAAGCGAAGTCCGCTCGCGTTGGCTTTATTTTCAGAGCGGGAGTGGGACAGGCGGGCGGGTTAGCTGGAGGGAGAACATTTTCTCCCTCTTCTAAAGTCCGATGGATTCAAATGGGTTGGATTTCACCGTTTGATCTGCTTTCAATTACCGGCCGGGGCCTGGCGCAGAGGAAAATGCTGAACAATTGCAAGCCACAGCGGCAGCAGGTACAGAGCGGGAGTGGGGAAAGAGGGAGATTTGGAATTGGAATGAGAGACACGGAGAAATGGAATGTCCAGGGAGAGCGCGGCCCCAGTGAAGCAATTGGATTAGACAAAGAGAGGAAAACAGTAGAGTGGAGTGTTTGATAAATACTCTGTCTATTAAGCTTTTGCTGTGACTGCGACGGGACGGGACGATAAGCCCCCCCCCCCCCACCTCCTCCCCCTCTTTCTGTCTTTGAGTCTCTCGCTACAAAATCGGGCTTTATGGTCTAATTTCTGAGCACACTAAAGAAGCGCAGCTGGCCATTTGTTGCCAAAGGGTGGGACATCTTACCGGGTCCTAATGGCTTTCACAGCTGGGTCCCCCCCCCACCACCACCACCCGCCAGCTCTCTCTGTCATCAAGTTTCACCCGGCATCGAAAAGACACACCTTCCTCTTGGCTGTGCTCACGTCCATCCGTAAAAGGCCGATTTCCCGCCCAGAGGAAATCAGCCTTATGGCTCCTCGTAAAGCTGCTGGCTATCACTTTGCCACCTATACCTGATGGTTTTCCCATATCCTTCCTCAGACATTCACCAGGGCCTTCCAGACAACCTGAGAAAGTGTACGTTAAAGGCATGGCGGCTGTCAAAGCAGCAGGCTTTGCTGTTTGAGCAGCAAAGCAGGCGCTTGCTCTGAAAACACTTGTCAGAATTTACTGCCAGCTGGGGTACAATACTCAGAATTCTTTAAAGATACCCTCTTTTTTCTCTCTCTCTCTCTGTCTCTCTCGCATTGAAGCACGTGGTGTTTGGTGTCAGGAAACTTTAACCGCTTTTCCTAAATCAATGTTATTGCAGTGTCTTGTCCCGCGCTTTCAGTCCTGGAAGTTTCCACTTAAGAAGGTTTGGGAGGCGGCAAAGCTTTTGCTCTTAGTACAATCCTGTGCACACGCTCAGCAGATGTAGGGTCCATAAAGTACAAAGTTCCTTCTATTTGGGTGTGTTCCCCGAATGAACTCAGCTGCCAAAAATGTCAGACTGCCAAAAACTACACAAAGCAATACAAAACCAACCAAGATGGCCGCCGCTCCGCCTTCACCTGACAGTGTTTTTTCCAGTATTTTTTTTAGATTTGTCTGCCTGACTGCACCTTTTTCTTCCCTCTCAGGACAACTGGTTTTGGCGGGTGAGGGATAACTCGGTGATGTCGGGGTACCCCATGCTCATCAGCGTGTTCTGGAGGGGCCTGCCGTCCAAGATAGACGCCGTGTACGAGAACAGCGAGGGCAAGTTTGTCTTCTTTAAAGGTGAGGTCACGCTCTCCGCATATGCCACAAGCCATCGTAAATCTTCGACTCTAAAGCCCAATGGAACAATTGTGTCTGTGCATTCCTGGTTTAGCTTTGTTTTATCTTTTTTGTGTGATATCCAGCCTCAGCGATCTTCAGACGGGGATCTGTTTGCACAGATACGGCCTTGTGCCTCTTGATTATTCTGCACACACATATTTTAATACGTGCGTCTATATTTGGGAGCAAAAAGAGTGTTTTTATCTGCAGTAACTGCTATATGTTATCGTGCTCCCTCAAAGCACTGCTTTGATCTTATCTGCGTTTGAGTTCGGAGCAAATCTGGGAAAGATTAAAGTGTTTTGCTGGGTTCGAAAATCCACCATAATCCAACAACATTGTTTTTAAATAATGCTGGGATGCAAACAGCGAGCGTGTATTCAGGCAAGCCGTCAGCCATGGCCAAACATCATTAGTGTCCAAGAGGAAACCACATGTGTCAGGAAGCCTCTCTGCTTGCTATCCATGCTCAATGAGGCTTGGCATCTGATATTGAAAGCTTTTGAAAAGATTAGCTTGCATATTCATATCTGGACCAAACTAGCCCCAACACACAGACCTTTAAAAGCTCATTACATCTGAAGCCGAATCGCCACGTAAAGGAAATATCAAACAAACATGGCAGTATTTGTATTCACGTGCTCTCCGGCTGGGCAAGGGTGCCGAGATGTAGGTAAGCTAGTAAAGTCAGCTGGGGTAATGAAAAAAACAAAACACACAAACTTCAAATCCTCTCTCAAAGCCATTTCTGTTTTCAACACTGTACAATTCCTGGAAACGCGACAAGCTGTGCACGTTTGATCCCCTCTTCCCCGCTCTCGGTACGGACCAGCTAGATTTAGAACATTCATACTAACAGAATGTCATTTTTTCATTTGAGCTCACTTAACTGATTTCCCTGAATGCCTCATTCTGTGAGGAATAAAAGCAGCCCAAAGGCAAAGTGTAGCCCTCCAAAGCCTTTACTAACCAGCCGCTTTGATTAGCTCTTCACAACTCCCGGCGTTATTAATTCCTCCAAAATCAATGCACAGATGGGGACTTTTGATTCTTTCAATCCATCGGGGTCATGGATAAGACCCTGATTAGTTTAGTGTATTTAAAGCATCCCACAACAGGTCAGAAATTAGATACCGCTGTGCACATTAGAAGTAGATGAACCATCTGTTGTTCATTCCTACAGTAAAGCCCAGTTCCAAATTTTAGTCATTATTTCCATGTTTCCACCCTTCCGAGGTGCTCGGTATGCAAGTCTTAGAGGTGGATAAGGAATTTATATGCAGCAGCAGAATCAGGCATGTTGCCCTCTTTTTTTAATCAGCCTCTCCGTCCTTAAAGAATTGCTGTTCTGAGCTGAGCGCCAGCGCACAGGCAGATTTGAAAGAATTCCTCTTTATATATTGAGCTGTTTTAGTAGTCTAAATTGCAAGGATTGATGCCGTGTCGTGCATCTGAATGAAATGAATCACATTAAGCGCCGGATAACACACAGCGCTGCGGGATTACACACTACACCTGACATTCCATACATCAGCAAGAGTTTCCCCCTCCATGGCAGCACCCAATCACAGTTTGATCCAGCCTTTGGTGTCAGGTCAGAGAGAGGACCAGTTAGGAGCAAAGGTTTTCCTATTTCAAGTATTTACTCATTACTTTTACTAAATGAAGCGCTGACGTGCTCATCGTGTACCGACCTGTAGATCTCCAGTGATACAACACACAGTTTCGGTCCCAGATACGATTAGGGACGCACATTCTTTTCAGAGTACTTTCTATACCTGCTCAAAACACAAGTGACACGGACACATGCCATTATTTGAATGGCTAATCACCCCATGTGTTGATCAGTTTTTGGTTGTATTGTTTGTTTTTTAATGGATGGACAATCATTTGTTTCAAAAAGGGAATTAGCTGTTATTTTTGCATTTATGACAAAGAAGCCAAAAAGTTTCACCACGGCGTCATTTAAAATCTTAAGTAGTCACACGTACAAGTGTAGTTCCTCGCGTCGCACGCTGTATGTGGCATGAGAAAGGAGGAGACCTTTTCTTTAGTTCTTATTTTTTTCTTCTTCCAACAAATCTCCAACACCACGTCATACTCTCGGCCAGGGATTAGTCAGATGCGGGGAGCCGCGGCCACATCAAAGCAGCCCTCACAGCTCTGAAGATGAAGCCGGGCTTTAATGTGGAGGTCGTTTCAAGTCGGCCTCGATTCGAAAACTGAAAAATGAATAAAGAATGGAGAGTCCCATTTTATGTAGGTTAGGAGGAGAAAGAGGAAGACAAAGAATGGCTAGGTCATGATTTTTGTGAATCAGCTCAAACTCCTGTTTTGGAGGTTGCCGGGGGAGGGGGGGGGTCCACTCCATTAATCTCAGGGTGGGGTGTGTTAGTTTGTGTGTCAGGGCCAGAGGAAGCTTGACCCACAGAGAGCCCAGCGCTGTAGGAGCAAGACATGAAATGACAGGAATTTCCTCTCCGAAAAGAGGCCACTACAGGTCTCTCCTACCCATTTAACATTCAACCAACACCCTGTCCTACTGTTCCTTCCTCCTTCCCATCTATAACTCCCTGTAAGCCTTTCTGAGGAAAGGTCTGGGGTCAGCTCTGTGGCCTTTAAGAAAGGAGAGTTTAAAGCATGAATGTTGCTGAGATCATTCCTACCTGCCTTTCACACCCATTTCCTCCATTTGTGAAGGAAAACTGGTGCCCTCTAAGCTGAGCTTGCAGATGTTCCACTGGTTTCATTTTTCCACACTCTGGTATTTCGTTAAGCACTGGGGAGGAAAGACCCCGCGCTTTCAACACATTCTGGGCTTTTAAAGCAGACAAATTGCTCTTAAATATGATTCAAAACTGTAAAGGAAATATTTTTTATTATGTCCTGAAGTTATAGAAAGACGTTTTAAACATTTTCTTCTAGTTTGGAGATATTATAATATGCCATTACCTTAATTTTTCCTTAATGTAAAATATTGGCCGTACCAGAATTGTCGTAATTCCAACTTAAAAGTTTCTTTAATGACACACACATCCACAACTCATGCTTCTTCCTGGTCCACCCTAGCCCCTCCACCAGTAATGACAAAATGCATTTCCTGGGGTCACACCGTGTCAAAAATGTGCTGTTTAACCCAACTCCTCCACGGGAAGGAGGACAAAGCGGGGCGAATGAAGGCCAGGAGAAAGTGGAACACTCGCTGAATTTTAAATTATGAAAGAAACAACGATAGGCGTCAAACAGTCAATCATATATTTATAGAAAAGGATTCGTATTCAAGTGTTTACTCTGCTCATCAGAGGAAGAAATTCTAAAAAAGGATTTTGCTAATTCAGTTTATAGCCACATGTAACATTCTTGTCTTGCACAATTTAAAATCGGACACCCATAAACATGGAACACAGTAAGGCGAGGCCTCGTGTCTTTGCCTCCAGTTTGCTGGGAGCCTTGTTTCTGTTTGTTCATTCCTGCTTTTGCTGCTTGTTTCTCTCCTAGAGGATGATCATCCTGCTCTTACCTGCCTTTGCAACTTATTCCTCTCTCTGTTTTTTTTTCCCGGACGCATAGGGAAGCAGTTCTGGGTGTTTAAGGACACGGTGCTGCAGCCCGGATACCCAAAGGACATCACCCAGTATGGCCACGGCATGCCAGCCCAGTGCATCGAGACAGCTGTGTGGTGGGAAGACGTGGCCAAGACCTACTTTTTCAAAGGGGACAGGTAGGTCCGAAACGAACAGGAGCACCATTTTAGTTTTCCTTTAAATGCACTGCTGAGTAAAGGTTACTTACTAAACTCTTATTTTTAACGACTGCACCATAAAACCCCTCCTGCCCTTGCATCGGGGATGTTGGAAGGCACCGATGGCTTTTCAGAAACAGGACACGTTCATGGACTCGTCGTTGTTATCAAGTGGCGGCGGCGGCGGCGCATCCTTCCGTTAATATGCTTCATGATTTTATGCCCGCCGCAGTGACCGATAACACCCTCAGCAAATGCGCGATCTTAACCAACGCGGCAAGCGATGAATAATGCATGAAAATAAGACAACGTGGTGGATGTTCCTCCAGGATTGGCTCAGCATCTCATCCCTTTTCATAAAATTTTTTTGTTTTGTTTTTTGTGCCGACATTTTCTGCACATTTATCTGCCACCTTGGTACTCCTGTAATGAGTTCAGACATCAAAAGACCTGCCTTAATAATACCAACTAAAAGTTGATGAAACATGTGCTAACATTCACAGAAATAAGGCAAAAACTCTTTATGCCTCACTCCTCAACCCTCTGAACCCTTTCACTTCTTAAAGGACTTCCATAACTCTTGTTTGGAAGTTGGCTGCCTTCTTTCCTATTTTTTCTCCATCAAGATGATCAGACACTGCTTCGGAAATGTTTACGTCTGGGCCCTGGGGAAGAATCTTTACTCCATAAGACCATAAACCCTTTCCTGCCCATGTCCCGTCCCAAGGAAAGGCCTCTTCTCTCTGACGAGGCATCAGTGAACAGTAGATGATAGATTGAAGGCCCAGATGCATTTTGCAGATTCCGTCTCTTTCATAGTTTTAAGTTCCCCCCCTATTTATTAAGAAGAACTTTCTCAGATATTGTTTATCTTTTGTACATAGTGTTAATGACCAAAGCTTCTTTTGTACTCCATTTTAAAAGACAGACTTTACTCCATGCTGAAATGTAACGTTTTTAGTATGGTTTTTCTTTTTGTATCCACTCCTCTATATATATGTATATATATATTCCACCTGTTACGAGTTTAAACCTTAATTCCAACAGTCATAATCATACAACTTCTGATCTGTCTTCCTGTGGCTCCTTATTTGTTCCTATTTAGGTACTGGCGCTACAATGAGGATATAAGGACCATGGACCCTGGCTACCCAAAGCCCATCACAGTGTGGAGGGGTGTGCCTGAATCGCCGCAGGGGGCCTTCGTTGACAAAGCCAACGGTACGATCTGTCCTGCCCAAAGCTCCCGATTTGGCAGCAACAGCACAGTTCACGTGCCAGCCAGCATTGATTTCATTTGGTCACCGGCACATGCTGTCGGGGAGGGAAAACAGGGTAGCATCGATTGAAATTTGCCCCAGTTATACCGTCGCCGTCGCCCATATCGCACACAGCAGATACGCGGTCGCACGAATGCATCCGTTTATTTGCGGACTACATGTCCGTCCCACTGAGTGTGCCGCAAGACGAGGGAGAAAAACTGAGACGTTTTCCGTTTCGGCAAAGCGGCCCTGAACGGCAGAGGGCAGGCAGGATCTGAACTTCTCGACGATAGGCCAGTCGGATACATGAGGTAGAAATAAAGCTTCTCCCATTGGGTGTCCAACCAGGTGGGGCTGGGCCCGGTCTTGGCAGCATTTCAGTTGGAGAAAGCAGAGCAGGTGGTGTCGAAAGCTCAGCCCATCTGTGCTGAAGATCTGCTCCCAGATCCGTAGCCGGGCGCAGCTCCCGCCGAGGCCAGGTGGGGCGGGCTTCAGTCGGAGCGTGAAGGATGGACTGGCATCCGCCGAGGCGCCCGGTGTTTGCGTTTTCGCTCGCACGTATGTCGGCCTACATTCCCGTGCCAGCCTGGCTGTTTGCGGAGACAGTGTGTCAAGCGGCACGCTCATAGCGCTGACCCAGTTAAGCAGGCAGTGTGAGGCAGCAGGGTGTTAGGGCCCGAGGACAGCGGCGATTTGGCTCTAACACTCCTCATGATCCTTTTTTGTCCCCTTAAAATCGGTAAAGTAAGTTTTAAAGTCTGGAAAGTGGTCCGGATGGCAGCTCTAACAGCGACCCGCTGTAAGAACGCAGTGTGAAAAGGCACAGTCACTTTTATGCCTTCAACTTAGCCAAACCAATCTTCTATTTTATTATTTTAGGATAATATTTTACAAGATGAAGTTTATCCCATCTTCACATGTTAACTGTTAGGTTAAGGTTTCCCATGAGAAACTGCTCAGCCCTCTCCATAAGTCGGTCGAAGTGGTTTTCCCACACAAATAAGATAGGAAAGATAGGACAACTGGCCCATGATGTAATTTATATGTGACACTGTCATGAGACAACAGCGATGTACTAGCTAAACTTCTCTTGGTCCGTTTATTAAGTATTTACAGCACTGAGGATCACAGGAATAGTTAAACCAGACGTTTTTTGCATCCTAGGCGGGATTGACCCGACGGAGTCACTTGACTCCTTGGCCAATCAGCGGCCGGCAGTCTGCAACCTGCTCTCAGGTGCTGAAATTGTAACGTTCAGCAGGCGCCAGGCCCTAATGGAAAAGCAAGAAAAACAACTGGTCAAATCGAGCTGCAATGAGTGGCCAACCAGCAGCAGCAGTATTTGGGCCTCGGTTTGGTCCACTGCAGTCCAGTGGTGGTAGTTACAAGCAGAGAGATGTCTTCATTTTTCCGAGCTCCTCTTTTGACGCTCAGCGTTTGCTGGCTGGCACAGTTAGTACTGTACCAGACAGATTAAGCAGGTGTTCGCCCAAGCGCTTTCTTTTATGCCGTTTGATCATTTTGCCCTTGTCTGAGATGAATCTTTTAAAACATCGCCCTGCGCTCCACCACAAACACCTCCACCTATAGACAGGTTCAGAAAGCCCCAGCACTCCCTTCCAGAGAATATTCTCTACCTATTTTCCCAGAGACGAGTAAAGCATAAATAATAAAGTACCAGACATAAGGTAGAAAGGAGGCAAGTGAGGAAGAGCAGAATTTAAGACTCCAGCTATGCCCAATTTACACAAGCTTTTTTTTGTTTTTATGAAGCCACCACACCTAAGAAACAACCTTTTTGGATTTATTTTCCACTGTAAATCTAAGGAAAGCTTTGAGAGGTTACCGTGAGAGTCTCACATGGACTAATCTTCCCTCGAATTAGCACGCGCCGCGACGGGAAACCTGTTCCTTCACGCGACACTTTGACAGCTTCCTGTCAAAGAGCTATGTCACTCCGGCGATTTGAGAAGCAGCTTGTTTCTCAATTACAGCTTCTGCCGTGGGGATCGAGCTGTGGGGTCTGGCCGCCGAAAGAGTGCGTTTTCGCTTTTTACGACTGATAAAATGAGTCCGGAGGGACAGTCTGGGACAGCTCGGCAGAGCGGAAGAGCTGAAACGGAAACAATGGATTAGCGGCAGAGCAGCACACGGGATTTTTATTTTATTTATTTATTTATTTTCCACGGCTTGAGCGGGGCCGGGTTTGCTCGGCTGGCAGGTTTGATTTGAGCCGGATCGTTTTTCATCCCCTTTTAAAGGTCAGCCGGCATTTGTTTTAAGTTTTTTAATTGCCGTAAAATGCCCCCGCTGAACTGGGAGGGAACACAAGGATTCCACCACAGAGTCAGTCTGTTGATTTAGTTTGGGCTCTGAGGCGATTATTGGCTACGCCTTGGCCTGTTTTTTTGTCACGTTGAATAAAACAGATAGGCCCTGATCAAAGGAGCTATAAACAGGGTATCTATTTTTTACTACTTATTATTTTACAGATAAAGATATTACTTCTAGTTTAAGTTTTAGATAAGATAGTCAATAACCTGTTTGACCTGATACCTCACTGTCAATCCCTGTTTTCATGGTAAAGGTTGATACATATTGTCCAAGAACAGGAAGTCTTTTTTTGTCCTCACAGGTCTTGTTCTGGAGTTTTTTCACAGTTTTTTTTTTTTCTCGCAGGGTGGACCACGAATATCGTGTGATTGGTCTTTATTTACTTCAATAGGGAGCTGTTCAATAAGCTTTTTTTTCTCTGTTTTCACCGAGTATGTAACAGCCTTTAGAGAAGGGTGGGGGCTCTGAGATAGTTCAGAACTCTCGGTCCAGCTGCTTAAGGGGTCCGGGTACAAATGAGTTTTCCCAGCTAGAGGGGAAAGTCCCCAGCTGCACAGTTTTTAAGGGATAATCTAAGGCCTCGCGTGACCATGTGGAAGTGAGGGGAAAAAACAAACACCTGTTTTAATCTTCAATTTTTGCTTTTCAGAAGGATTTAATCCTTTTGGAGGTTTTAAGTGACAAGTGATGGAGGTGGTCTGTTTGCTGAGTTTGTTTGTTTCCCGCCTTTTCCCTCCAGGTTTTACCTACTTCTACAAGGGGAAGGAGTACTGGAAGTTCAACAACCAGTTCCTGCGCGTGGAGCCGGGATACCCGCGCTCCATCCTGAAGGACTTCATGGGCTGCGAGCTGGCGCCGGTGGACCCCGGGCGCCCGCCGGCCGACGACGGCAACTCGGACGTGGTGATCGAGCTGGACGACGAGCCGGACACGGTGAAGGCCATCGCCATCGTCATCCCCTGCATGCTGGCGCTGTGCCTGCTGGTGCTGGTGCTCACCGTGGTGCAGTTCAAGAGGAAGGGCACGCCGCGCCACATACTGTACTGCAAACGCTCCATGCAGGAGTGGGTGTGAAACCCCGGGGGGAGAGAGAGACGAGAGGGGCGGGGTACCGGGGTAGCAGAGAGGCTGGGGGGGGGTTAAAATCGGGACCTCAGCCTCCCTCGCTTTCACAGAAAGGAGCTGATTTTGGACAGCTTTATCAAGACGCGTAGCCCCCCCCCCCCCGCCCTGTGTGGTCTGACACCCTCGCTCAGAGACAGCCAGTGTGACTGCGACCCGTCACGCAACAGGTGATCTTATTGCTGACTCAGCCAGCCCCTTGCCTTTTTACCCAATGGGGAGGGGGGGATGGGGGTGGGTAAGAGGTGGATATTTGCTCAAAGGACCTACGGTTCCAGTCCCACACAATAGAAAGAAAAAAAAAAAAAAGCAAACAAGAGGGTCGGCATCACTTTGTATCTCAGAAACTTGACTTTCTGTCCCGTTCATCTCTTTTTTTTTTCTTTTTCTTTTCTTCTGCCCGTCTGTTTTTAAGCCGAGGGAGGACTTTCAGGGGGACGCGCACTCCCC